ATGTAATTGGTGTTGAACCAGAATTCTGCCCAGCTCAGCCATTTAGGCCATGGCTTAGGTTTGCTTCCTGCTAGACACCGAGGGAAGTTTCCAAGTACTTATTCATGTTTGTGCATTTGATATGAATTTAAGCTTTGTGCCAGCAAATCTGAATAGTTTTATCCAAAAGTGGATAAGAAAAATTTTGTCTCGATCTGAAACAATAGTGGCTAGAATTGACATTATTATAACCATTCCCCATAAATTTAAATTCTTGATTCGCGTTGCAATTTAAGATTTTAGATTTAAGGAATAATTAGTTGGAGACTGGTTGAATATCCATCTTTTTCCTTTCTCTTTGAAGCTGTTATGACATAATAAAATTTGGAGCTGCCAAGAGTTGCTGTCGAAACCATATCCCCTTGGCCGTTGGCTAAGATTGTATAAGACAAGCTTGCATTTTAAATATAACTGTTGCTGGTTCTACATGACATCCAGGAATTCTCGTGGATAAAAATGCGAGCTTGCCTTTAAAAGAAAACCGAGCTTGCAGAATTATTTATTATATGAAAAATACATAAAAATCAATTAATTATGGTTAATTATTTTCAGATTAAAAGCTAAACAAATGAAAGTAAATAAATTTATGAATAAAATTGAATGAGCCTAAACTTATTGAAGCAACATTTAAGGAATTAATCATGATTAAATTATTTTCGATTTAAAAGCTAAACAAATGAAAGTAAATAATCAACTTAGACTTAAGGAAGTAGTCTGAATTTAAATAATTGATTCATACATAATTCAATCCTAACCATGAATATATACAAAGTGAAAATCACCTGTAAATAAGTCTTTATCTCTTCTTTGCGTTAGGCCACTATAACATATACTTTTGTTGAACTATCGTTCATTCATTTCATTCAATTGACAATATAACATAAAAGGTAGAAGAGGTATATTCAACTTTTACCTTCTTATAAGAGTGAAGGATTTCATTGAAGTTCCCAATGGCTGTCCAAGGTATACTCAACCTAGAACCAAAGTCACATGTATGATTCTATAGCTTTTCCCTTAATAGAGAAATGAGACTAGCTTAAGTTGTGCTCAAAGTCCAAACTTTGCTAATTATATAAATTTTTAGAATAATTATTTACAAATAAGTATCCATCATAGTACTGAGAGTTACGGGAAACCTTTGAACAACAAGACACCATATGCCTCCAATATGACCATGAGCTTCATCCATAGTCATCACCTTATATATAGCTAATTTTATTTCGAAACCTTTTATTAAAATCAAATAGAGTATGGACTTTTATAAGAATAGCTCTAGAAGGTATCTTTTGCCATCCAAATTTTTAGCACCATGGATATGTTAAGCTATAATCTTGAAATCCATACAATTCATAAAATAAAAAGATTATAAAAGATGAGGAAGAAGAAACAAAACATTACATTGCGTTATAAAGTTCCATTGAAGTATGTTGAGCACTAACTTGAACCTTCTTGTACTCACGTTGATTGAGTGGAGTAATCATTATTTTGTAAAACTTTAATGTACTCAATCACATAAGCTTAAAAAGATAGATAATTGAACATCTTCTTGACATTTTTTTTTCATGAAAGAAAGATTAGTGTCATTTTTCTCATTTTAACTTTTAATTGAATTAACAATAATCATGGGATTGTTTTGCAAATGTGTTGCATTCACATGAGATTTTACATTGTTGGTACTAACCGTGCTGGAAATAAGATCCATACAAAAATTATTTCCTTTATTGCTAGCCAAAATTTTGTGATCTAAGTTGGCTTGATCAATCCTATTTTTATTATTAATATTATCTTCTCCTCTTTCTTATTTTTATGATTTTTTTTTATAACCATGACTCTTCCTTGTGTAAGATGCAAAGAATCTTTCAAATTTGACTTTCCATAATTAGCAACTATTAAATATGGATATTCATACTATCATTGTTTTTTTTTTTCCTCCATTGTTAACCATGGAAAACTTTATTATATCTTTATGATTTTATTTATGTCAATAGGAAAGGATTGCACAACAACCTTGAGAGGTTTGGTAGAACAATTTTTAGTCAAAACTCATAGAACTCATAAATATAATATGTAGACATTTATATTTAACTTTATATCAATAGTCATTAAGGTTTATCACACCAACACCAGGCTTGAATAAATCCACTTCTACACAAACGTGCAAAATGAGTCTTACTAACAATAAGAGTATTAATATCAATCTTTTCAATTTTACTAGAAGCAAGAGAAAATAAAATAATCTCATCATAGAATATCAAATTAAGCCTTAAAAATCTAATCAAAACAAGATTTGTTTTATTTTTTTCGCTTTAGCAACCAAAGAAGTAAATTAAGGAGATAGATTAAATTGCCAACTAATGATCATAAATAATCTAGGAATCACGTTCTGTTTTGTTCACAATCAAATTGAATCATATAAAAATAATTGCCAATATCAATGATTTCAAATAATTCTTTTTATCTTCCATAACTTCACTAATCTTTCATACAAGAAAGCATACTCATTATATATTTTAAGCAATTTAAACACGGAAGTAGCAAATCTTGGATTACACAATTCTCATAGCATTTCATCATTTAGATGTATGATAGGCTAAACCTATTACTACTAAAAAGTACATGAGTTCATGTTAAAAAAATATCATAAGATTACCTACAGGCTTTTCATAGAAAGAGACAAAATCTTGTGTTTATTAACATTTTCCATCAAGCTTCTAAAATTAAAGAACACATAATTTTCCATCACTAAATTCAAATAAGTCGTGCATTTAAAATAACCATCATTTTCTACTTGAAATTGTATAAGCAATTTTTAAGGAAAAAATTAACAATATTGTTTCTAATTTTCTTTTCTTTTCTTTTTCTAGAGAATTATAATGCTTCTTTTTTTGTGTGTGAACTTGTTATTTTGATAAATTAGAATATGACCAGTCTTCATGCAAAGGATGTACATAGTATTTCTAACATGTCCTTTTTTTGCATTTGCTTGAAGATTGCTACGTGCATCTTAATAAAAAAACTTAACAAATTTATATTAAAATCTCCTTATAAGCTTATGATTTAAAGAAAACTAAGTTTAAAACACTTTTATGTGTGGAGTTGTAAGGTATAAATGAGACTTTATAATATTCAAATAAAGAAGCTTAATTTAAAGACAATTAGTAATTTTTTATCAACTAATATTGTGTGGGTTCTTGGGGCAATAAATTTTATTGTCCTTCACACATTACTTAAGTTATCAAATCTGATTATGTTGAGGTTTTTTTTTTCTTTAAGATGACTTGCATAGTGAAAGTAATACACCACAACTATCTACCCTTAAAAAAACTAAATCTGAAAAGTAAATATATAATAAATAAAAAATAAATAATAAAAAGAAGTAAATATATCCTTCTTAGACTCTATTTTTTTTTATACTTTTATTACATTTAAAAAGAAGTAAATATATCATCAATAATAAAAAAAATATCAAACATTCATTATTTTAGTAAATAAAAAATTATTAATATTTTGAGATTAATTTTTTGTAATAAAATATTTATAAATGAAAGTAAAATTAAAAATTATTATTGTGATTTAAAAACAATAAATAATTTTAAATAAATTAAAATATAAAACTTAAAATTTGAAAAATATATTATTACTAAATTTTAAACTTTAATATACTTAATTATAATGTCCTTATTTATCATATTTTATTTTTTAGTTAACCTAATAGCTTAGCTTTATCGAACACTTTCAATTCAATTAGTTAATTTTTTAACTTTCAGCTGACTCTTTTAAACACACCCTTAATATTTATAAAACATTTACGAATTATTTAAGTTAAACATTAATGTAATAGTGGTAACAATAATGATTATTGATTAGTGATTTATGGTGGCAATGACAATAATAGAAAAAATAAATGATTATAAAAATTAATGTATGTATTTTAAGAGAGATAAAACTTGAATGATTTATTTTACAACTAAGAATTATTATTTTTGTTAAAAAATTGAGATGAAAAGTAATTTTAAAAAATTGAATTAAAAACCCATTTAACTTTATTTTAACTACACATACTTTGTTTTAAAATTCATATTTAAAAAGAAACTGAAAAATTAGAACCACGTCGAATAATGTAGACCTTGATATCTTTTATTTTAATCCCTTAGACAATGTATTAAAAACATTTATTAACGTTCTAGCGTAAAAAGAAAGGCGTAAAAGGAAGCAAAATGCAATTAGTAAACAATTAATTGGCAATTACAACAAGATTATTATTGTTTAGACGTATAATCACCAAATTTCAAAGTGCACATGTTCCTCTTTTCGGCACCTACAATTACTCATCAATATTAATTTTATATTACTTTTCAGGGTGTACGTGACTAAAACATAAATGACCATAATCCTCTGGCGAACACGAAACAGACACTTGTTGTTAGTTATACTACCAGCAACATTGCTTGTTTCTCTAACGTTTGACACGATTTAGTAGTGCCTGGACGGCAAAGGGTTGCATAATATAATTTTTAATCTAAGTCATGATTTGAGTCTCAAATAGAAAAATCATTCACATCGTAAGTAGTAATTTTAAATTTCTAGTAAGCAATAGCAGGGATCACACATATAATTGTGTTGTTTTTGTTTAATTTTTCACCTTTTTCTATAGTTAGTAGCCCATTTTTATCTTGAAACATAGGGCAGGAGTTATCTTTGAGAAACTTGACTGTTTCAAGCTTCCGCCCCTAGCTTGACTTAGTTGTATAATAAAGAACCCTTTCCCTTTGCCCAAAGGGGACAAAATTGAAACAAAATGATGCCCACTGTAATATATAATATAAGTCAGATCTAGCCCAAGGTTTGCTTTACATTATTCACAATCCATTTTCCTCCGTTATCCACTTTCCTTCCATTTAATTTCATCGTCCATTTCCATGGTGCCTTAAAATTGGCCAACTACACAACTAATTAAGACTATGGAGAGGAGCAAAATACAAGAGCTTTATGATGCTTGTCATGCCTTGTTTTCTCAGGAGGGCCTTCCAACTTTTCAACAAATCCACTATCTGAAAAATTTGCTAGGTGTGATTCTATATATCATCATCCTCAGTCAAGTGCACACGTTTTAATTTTTACAATCTAATTGTCTTCATTTTCCTAAACCCAAACCACTATGTAGCCTTTTTTATTTTAAAAGTGAGTATAATTGATTTTCATCAAATTAATTTTAAGCTATTGAATATGATTGAGGTACATATATAAATTAATCTGAACTATACATTTTTATTGGAACATGTGTTTTTTTACTAAAAAGTGAAATAATTGATTTTGTAACAAGTTCAATGAATTTGCAGACAAAATTGAAGCCATAGATGTAGGAATCGACGAGTTCGGGTCCTGTGATTCTCCGACTTCATACTCAAACGTTGATGGAAGCAGGGGTTTGCTTTGTGGGCAAGGTTTCTCTGAAATAACATACATTCACATTCATGAATGTGACTACTTTTCTGTGAGTAGAAAATTTAAGCACCATATTTGAATTACTTCTTTTGTTTAGCAATAAAATGGAATGAGATGTTTAATTAACGAACCATTTCTAATTTAATGAATTTAAAAAACATGCAGATAGGTGTGTTCTGTCTTCCAGCAGGGAAAGTATTTCCACTTCATGATCACCCGGGAATGACAGTGTTGAGCAAGCTCTTATATGGCTCTGTGTATGTCAAAGCTTATGACTGGATCACATTGGATTGTACTGGGTGCCAAACAAGTAAGTGTACGATATACTTCGCCAACTTGATTATAAATGATCTTGATTTTGCAAAACATTTCTTTTTTGTTAAAATTATATTTAAAGTGAAATGACTTATATCTATAAACTTTTATCTTAAAATAAATTTATAGTGAAACTTTGTATAAAATTCTCAACATAAAGTAAAAATATTTTTCCGTTTTTGGTACTTGTTTGCAGCCAAACATCTTATAAGACAAAATTGATTTTATAACATATATTATCAGCATAATTAGTTAAAATAGTTTTCTTAACTCAGTCTAATAAGACTGATAAATAATAACTAAAAGAAAAATAGATGATAACCCTAAATATGGGTGTGGAGGTGCAGTAGGATTGGCAGGAAGGGTAGTGGATGAAGTAATGAAAGCACCACACGAACCATCAATATTGTTTCCAAGAAGTGGTGGCAACATTCATTCTTTTACAGCGTTGACGCCATGTGCAATACTAGACGTGTTATCTCCACCATACTCTGAAGAGTTTGGAAGGCCTTCCACTTACTACTCAGACATCACTATACCTTCTCTTACTGGTAATTTTAATTTTAAATTAATTAATTTATAATTAGCTTCAATTCAAGGTATTGATTATTTGTGTACCGTGTGCTACAGGCTATGCCATGCTTGAGGAGAAACCGGTGCCTAATGACCTAGTCGTTCATGGAGCGCCATACCTTGGACCCTCAATTGTAACCGTGTACGATTACAGCTTAGGTCAAATCAGTTTTGATAATCACGTATGAATTGAGTGTGTGTATGTAAATATGCTCATAATTAATATAAATATATATTATCAGCAACAATGATTTGAAAGGGGTTAATTTCGAAAGCCACAATCATCTGGGCAATTGGTATATGTGAAAAAACGTGGGCTACGGAACCGCTACACATTGCTAATTGCCGTAACAGCGAGTGAAGTGTGCGTGGTTTTGGAATTTTGGTGGTACTACTTGCATGGTCAATGGGTGCTGCTAATACTAATTCCAATTGAGTTGATGTCAAATATTAGATTCACTTGCAGTTGGTGATATCAAATATAACTTCTTCTTCCATAGTCTCAGAACGATATTCTCGGCTAAATAGAAAATTAAGATCTAACACAGGTAATTGCTATTTTTATACCCATTATTTATTGGGAGATTTTGAATTTATGTGTATATATGTATGTATAATTAATATGCTTGCTATTTAATTTTAAAGATAAAAATTGAAAATAAAATCAATTATTTATTTGATAATTTATTTTTAAAAAATTAATTTTAATAGTTTAAAACGATTTGAATCGGTGGAATACCTGTTTTCGGTCTACCATTGTACATCTCTACAGTACATCACCACACTAACTGGTCAATTGTGTCTTCTATCTAAGATTGATTAGTCAAGAATTATATCTTCCATCTTGTTTATATTATGTAATTCTATAATTCAACGGAAGATCATTCGATTTAGATGCTATTGTAAGTTCTTTTCATCTTTCAATAAAAAAAAATTATCGATATTATTTAATTTCAAATTTACGTTTTCCTTTACTTTTTTAATATAAATTTGTTTAGTTTATCCTTTTACATAATTTGTTTCTATCTTTACTTTGGCTTACCATTTACATTTTAAGTTTCCTACTTTTGTAAAATCTTATTAATTGCTTTTTTCAGTACTTACTTTTATTCTTCTCAAGCAGTTTATTCTTATCATCGTTTTGTCTCGTTGATAATTTATTTTCGATTTTATTATTTTTATTCTGCAATTTATCTTTAATTCCATTACAGTAGTTTGCATGCAAATATCCTTAAGTATTATGCTTTGCTTTCTAGATTTTTTTGCTCTGGCAAAGTTTGATTCTGTTGGTAGGCTGATTCTTCATTATTTCAATTATTAATTTTAGTGATTTATTTATTTTCGATTATTATAAATACAACTATTTTTCTGTTTTCTTTAATACTTTTTTAACAGTTGAATTACTTGAGTCGTATTAACATGTATTCTTTTAGATTAGCAGCCATGGATAAATCTGCGTGTGTTGACAAAATTTGACGTAAACGCACACACACCAAATGTAATTTAACAACTAATGAATATTTCTCCGAATACTTTAGCCAGCTTTATATTATATATTATTAATAAAGTGCCAAATGCATTCGAAATTTTATCGTATTAAGACTGGCTATAGCTAGAAAGATGGGAATGCTTATCTTCAGCTGTAAAATCCAACGACAATCTTATCCTTTTCGATCGACCTGTCCATTTAATGGGTATTTCGTTATCACTTAATTTGTAATTAGGAAATTATTTGTGAAGTTCACTCAGAAAATTTAAACAAATATTATTTATCTAGAATAGACAGATTCAAGGAATAAGTCTGATTCTTTTAAAAAAGGTTAGTGACAAAATAGTCTATATGTGTTTAATTAGATTAATTAAAAGTACAATTGGTACATATAAGCATTGATTTGAAAAAGCATTACTACAAATTGAAGTTTTAATCGTCTTTATTATTAACTAGGATGTTTGATGCCTTGTCAATCAATCGCAGTTATTAATTTATTAATATAAAAATAAAGAGAACTATTTGATTTAATATTCTTTTCTTACCTCTCACTTCATGTAGTTCGAAGGGAAAGTTCCAAATCGTTGGGCTGGGGTAGGCGGTAAACACAAAATAAAATTAAGGTTTCAACTTATTAATTTGCTTTATCTAAACAGAAGATGATGATGATAATAATAATAATAATAATAACAATAATAATAATAGTATTTTTTTTCTTTTCCTCTTTATAAAAGAAATAGCATAATTTAATTAATGATAATTAATTAAAATTAAAATATTTTTAAAAATTAACATATATTTTTCATGCAGTTTCTTCGATCTATTTTGTTCAATTATCATTGTCATTAAATTGTTATTTATGTATATAATGATATAACCATTACAACCCTGAATAACCATTCAATAATTTTATCCTTTACATGCTTACAAGCTGGAATTATAGAAAAATGCAATTAAATTTTAATGGTTTTGAAAAATGATATTTGGAAGAAAAAAAAAAACGTGAGCAGGAGGGTCAAATTAATTTTTTACTTTTTAAAAATATTTATCCAAGGTTGTTTAATCAACTGTAGATTGAATTCAATATTCAATGAATTTGCCAACTAGGGTTTTCACAAAATAAAACTTCTCAATTTTATATACTCTTGCGAAACATTAGAATAGACAATGAAAAAAATAATACTAAAAATTTATACTAATTTACTTCGCAAAAATTTAAAACTTCGTCTACTCCTTTAAATATTTTATCTTTACAAATTAAATGTTTTTCAAGTATTTTAATACAAGTTTCTCTAAATTCAATTAACAAATTTTATTTATTGCCTCGGCTATTTATAATTTTTTTATATTCGTCTATTTATAATTTAAAAACCATTACATCTAATATGTAAATTATATCACAACTGACGTCTTAACTCAAATTTGTCAAATCAATAAATTTACGTAACACTTCAATTTTTTTTTAACTATCTTCGAATTTTCTAAATATTATTCCCTTTCATTGAGCAAAATGTTCATAATCTTTGTCTCATGTAGGTTAGTAGCTTTTTTTAGCTTGCTTGAACTTGATTCAACTTTCATGATTAACATAAATACTTGTAAACCCTAAAACCCCGCAAACAGAGAGAGAGAGAGAGAGAGTTAATTAGGGTTTAGCCTTTTTGGAAAAAAAAAAAAAAAGTTTAAGACATGCTAAAGTGTTTCATGTAGAAGAACTTTATATTAGGCTTTAAATTTATATTTTATTTTTTAAATTAACATCCATGAAGCACTTCAGTAAGTATCCTACCTGTATTTCTTGATTTTTATTTTTGTTTTAAAACCAATTTGAAGTGTGTCATGAATGAAACACTGTAGCAGAATTTAATTTTAAAGTGCTTTTTAATGGGAGCACTTTAGAAGAGTTTCGTGCTATTTTCTTATATACAATGTTTAGTCTAAAAAACTCACTATGAAATTGAGACAGTAAAAAATTAATTTTTGACATAATGAATTTTCATTTTCATAATGATTTTCAAACTAGTTAAGTGATAATAATATGATATATCAAGGCTATTACTCATAATTGATTTGTGATACTATTTATTAATTATAATTATAATTATAATTATAATTTTATTTTAATAGATATTTATATTTAATATTATTGTAATTTATTAATATAAACTTTTTAATTAGAAAATAATATTTATAATATTTTTCCTTTAAGATATTAAGAACGCAAAGATTTGTGACAGAGAAGTGGTGACATCAGACAACAACAAATCTCTAACATTTTAAATTTGAAAAAAAACTATATTAATCTAAAAATAACAAGAAAATTATATTAAAAATCATATTTTCTTTAAATAATTACTATTTAATGAATTGTAGAATATAAATTTTAACCCAATTTGAATATTTACTTATGATTTGACCTATAATTACAAATAAAATACTAAGCTTTTTTAGAATAGTTTTAAAATCATTTTTATTTTATTTTTTTATATTTTATGACATATAAATAATATCAATTATATTTTACTATGTGATAAGTATATATAATATTTTAATAAAGTCATGAAATAAATCATATTAATATTTAAATAATAATATACTTTAACTTTTCATTTTATGCACAAATTATTTTGTATTTTAAAAATAATATTTTTTAAGGTATGTTCAAGAATATACTATGAGTTTATGTATAATAATTTTTATCAAAAAATATATAATATTGCTGAATTTGAAAAAAAATATTATTTATTAATTTCTTATCATATGCTTGAACACATATTTTAAAAAATTATTTTTAAATATATTACACTTAATTTTTTTTAACTGTAAATAAACAAATTTTACATTGAAACATAAGAAAACTAAATTTAATTTAATATAAATATGCATAAGTTAGGTGTCTAAAATTAATTTTTAATAATATAATTATCTTGGCTACTTATAATTATGATAAAAATGATCATAATAATATATTTTAGTGCATTACTAATATAAAATTTTTACACTGATAAAAAAATTACACTATCAATATATATAAATTAAATTCTTACACTAGTAATAATTTATCTTTAAAATCGAGTTTAAAATTACAGATTGAGCTAAAAGAATCCTTAACAATCTATGTGGTAGATGGTTAAAATCACTGTTTTAGTAACTAAATCTCTACTTTTTAATATATATTTTAAATATACTAATCATATAGTATATTTAAGAATTATATACAATTGTTTATGAATTTAATTTTAATATACTAATAATATAAAAAATTGCTTTCACTCAATTATAATTTATTATATATTAGCAAGCTTCCTTAATTTATATAATAATAATATTAAAATTATATCTATAATATATTTTAATTAATTAATTATATAAAAAAATTTACACTAATAATCCATCACTTTAAACTTTTTGTAAGAATTAACTTAAAAGCTACAGTTTACCGTTTTAGTAAGCAAATCTATACTTTTTAACGTTATTCTTAAATTAAAATAGATATTTTAATTTTTATTAGATACTAAAATCCTACAAGACTAAAAACCTATAATTTTTTATAGTTTAAAGAATTAAGAAGAACTTTTATAAAATCTAAAACAAAAAAGAAATTGTCATAACTGAGAGAACTTCATTTGATAAATAATATTTGGTAACATTTTCTACGCGTATTTTTTTTTCCTTTTTCCTTTTTCCTTTTTTGTTGGTATTTGCCACCCTCTGTTTGTCGACAACAACATTCACACACGAGTCAAAGGCTGGCTTGCGTCTTTGTGAAGACTTGGAGGACATTTTCACGATCCCCAGAACCTACTTTTTTGTCTCATAGGAATAACACATTACTTTCTAAGCTCTGCTTTTCATTCCTTTTATGTCAAAAAAACACAATAAACGGGCACGGTTGTGTCAGTGGAATTGTGCAATAGTAAAACATGGAGCGCTATGAGATTCTCAAAGATATTGGGTCTGGCAATTTTGCTGAGGCCAAGCTCGTTAGGGACAACTGCACCAACAAGTTCTTTGCTGTCAAGTTTATTGAGAGAGGCCAGAAGGTCTACTTCATCTTCTTCACTCTTTCACTTTTTTATTCTTTGTTGGTTACTATTCATCTGGGTTCTTTGGTATTTTGTGTGTGATTGTGTCTCTTGTTCTCTGTGGAAATATGTACTGCAGATTGATGAGAATGTCCAGAGGGAAATCATGAACCATAGATCATTGAAGCATCCCAATATTATTAGATTCAAAGAGGTTAGTAAGTTCTTATGAGTAAAGGGTTGAGCTTACGGATAACTTATAAAATTATCTTACGAGTCATGTAAGCTCTGATTAGTTTATTTTTAACAAACATTTTAGAATAACTTATGATAATAAGTTATTGTAAATTTATTTAGTAACTTTTTTGGTTAAATTTATATCATAAATTGTGGTATAAAAAAATATTATTAATTAAGCTATATATTCAAGATGGGGGGATATATGAGCATGTGATTATTGCCAAAAAACATGAGCATGTGAAATGTGAGCTGTGGAGAATGTGTGTGGTGGAGATGGAAAGTAGTTACTAACTTTGGAAGTTAGCTATGGAAACACTCATTATGAACTTGAATATTGACCTACTTTCATTTTTTTGGTCTCCAATTCAATCATTCTACCATTTACTGAAGTGGGTTTGGTTAGGAATCGGAATTGAATTTAGATTTAGAATAATAATACAAAGATTCCCAGAACAATCTTATTCGGATGCATAACTAAAATAACAATACAAAGAAAATCTCACTTTTTGTTTTCTTTTTACGATATTTTTAGATTAGACAGTGTGATCAGTATGATTTATTTCATGAAATTTCTTCCTAAATGTTTAGAAACCTTAATATACCAGTTCTTACAACTTTTTGCTTTCCTTGAACTAGGCCAACAGACTGTGTTCGTAACTTGGAAATATATAAATTGATTCAAAATCTATTGCGTTTTTTCAAAAGGCATAAATTGTTTTAGAATTTCTAACAAAGAAACAGAACAATATTGTTAAGTGAAACTATTCATTCGGTGTGTAAGAGGAAGAAAAATACGGACTCAACCTTTTCCTTCTCTTAGTACTGATTCACTGAATATTGTACTCAATCTTGTTTATTTGTTTAAAAGAAAATAGAATAATATGTAATTAAGTGGTTTGCCATGTAGATCAATTAAATGATGGCCTCACACCATTCTGGCAGAGAAAGTTAAGCACTTTTTCTGGGTCCCATTGTCTTTGGTCTAACGAAAATTTCACTAATTTTCTATTTTCTCCTTTTCTTGTGGTTTGTGGGCATAGTGTTAGTGCTTGTCCTTCCCTTTGAATAAATTTTAATTTAATGTAACCAAGTACTAGTTATTTTATCAAAGTGAACATACCTCCTCCGTTGGAATAACATTCCAATCAGTTTCAAAAAACGAAGAAAAAGGATCCATTGTGTGAGCTTTGATGACTATACTATACTTGTAGATCCTGCTGACACCAACACATCTAGCCATAGTAATGGAGTATGCTGCTGGAGGAGAACTTTTTGAGAGGATATGCAGTGCTGGTAGATTCAGTGAAGATGAGGTAATATAGAAAGTGGAGATAATATTTGAATAGTTTATGTATTTCAGTATGACATTATTTAGATTGTATCTTGTTGTAAAGGATGAACTTAGTCCATGTTTAGTTAATTGTTTCTGTAATGCTTGTACGTATATTATTTCATTCAGAAGCTTTGGTCCTAAGTCTTGTTATTTTTCATCAGGCAAGATTTTTCTTTCAGCAATTGATATCAGGAGTCAGTTACTGTCATTCAATGGTACATAACTAAACCAAACATTAATTATGAATCATATGCCTTTACAATGAATAGAAATTTATAGGTAAAGGAATGGTTATGACTTATGCAGGAAATCTGTCATAGAGATCTGAAACTTGAAAACACGCTCTTAGATGGAAGCACTGCACCACGAGTCAAAATTTGTGACTTTGGTTACTCGAAGGTAGTAAAAGTTAATAAGGATTACAGCTCTAGATGATGCAACCTTTTTCAAGTGATGTTAATTTGTTTTTATCTTGTATTTTAGTCATCAATATTGCATTCACAACCTAATTCTACGGTAGGAACTCCAGCTTACATTGCACCTGAGGTCCTTATGATGAAAGAATACGATGGAAAGGTAAGGTCTTATTCTTCCTCATTCCTTATCCTTGGTCTTTGCTTGTTCTTTTTTTCACTACTTACATATATGTGGTCCTGTTTGTTCTTTTCTTTGCTAACTATATTTTTCCCTTGAAAGCTATAGATTGCAGATGTTTGGTCTTGTGGAGTCACCTTATATGTGATGGTAGTTGGGGCTTATCCTTTTGAAGACCCTGCAGATCCAAGAAACTTCAAAAAAACCATTGGTGTGAGTCATAACTGCAAACTCAATGAATCCCTAAAGAAAATGAAGTCTAGAAAATAAGAGTTACTTGTTTAGTTGCACTTTTTCTGATATGCTGTTTCAATTGGGCCTTCTGTGGCATTTTACAGAAGATACTTAGTGTCCAGTACTCAATCCCTGATTACGTACGAGTTTCCATGGAATGCATACATCTTTTATCACAAATATTTGTGGCAAGCCCTGACAAGGTAGTTTTGGTTTGATGTTCAAAATCTAACAGTTTTCTTCATCTACAAATTCCTACATGATAAGAGATTAAGTTCCTTTGATTCTTAAGCACACTGCTTATACAAATATTCTCAATATTTATTTTCAAGTAACTAAAAAATTCTGCTTTTGTCATACCAATGCATGTTGGAGTGTTGTTTTTCCTTATCTTGGCTTTCAAGCAATGCTTACTGTTTCCTCCATCTTGGCATCTTACTGAAAATCTTCCTTTGAAATTCATGTATCTTCCTTTCCAATTTTATTGAGCCATTGGTGGCATTTTGCAGAGAATAACAATACCAGAAATTAAAAACCATCCATGGTTTTTGAAGAACTTACCAATAGAATTAATGGAAGGTGGAAGTTGGCAAATCAATGATGTGTATGATCCATCACAAAGTGTTGAGGAAGTTCTGTCTATTCTACAAGAGGCAAGAAAATGTCTTAAGGTTCCCAAGGTTGGCGGTCTTCTTACTGGTGGCAGCATGGACCTGGATGAGTTGGATAGTGATGAAGATCTGGAAGATGTAGAATCAAGCAGTGAATTTGTGTGCCCTCCTCTTTAAGTGTGTATATAAACAAGCTGAGCTTTTGTTAGCTGTGAAATTGTGAATATATTTTTAAATTATTAGTATGTTTGGATTCGCGTTTAAATACCTATAAATCCATGTTTACTTACGAAAACGCTGTTAGTGGCTTGTTATTTCTTAGTTTTGGCATGATGATGGATTTTTCCCTATGCTTTTTTGCCCCCTCCATCATGCTAAACACACTAGTGGATGTGATCAGATTTAGGATTAGGAACTTTCAGATCCTAGTACCATTTTCCTAGTAATGTAACACCACTTGAACTTTTGCAAGGATGAGAATATGAAATAAAGCAAGTTGCTAGAAAAAGTGACTAAAAAGAGAGTATAATAGAGTGGGAATTGAGCAGCATAGCTTCCCTTGGAAGCTTTCGTGATGTCATCTTGCATTTGTCCTTTTCAATTCATGTCTACGACTTAATTTTATGATCTAGTTACCTAGCATTATTATATCATTGCAAACTTAAATTTAAATTAACGTTGCAAATATAATTTATTTAACCATGAGCTTGCTAGTGGCCTGTTGTGGGACCAAGTTCTTAATGTAACAGCTATGTTTTAATTCAGAGGAACTTAAACCGAACACGTGGAGTACTTGTCCCAAAGTAACACGAAAATTCCTTTTCTGAAGTTGCTACCAATCTTTGGCTCATCGAAACATTTGTATCTTCGGAATCCATCGACATTGCCGACACTGTTTTGTTGTTTATTTTATTGCCGCCAAAGGAAGATTTGTCCCTTGCGGAAACAATTGACAAATCCGTGAGGCAAATGTTAGTAACTTTATTTTGTCATCTTGTGTTTATAATTTTTATGACTATCTAGTACCTTTGAAAGGAAAAAAGTATTTAAAAACTAAGTTATTAACATTACTTTGAAGACTAAACTGTCATTTTGATCTCTGAAAAAGTTTGCACCTTGTACTTTAGTCTCTAAAAAATTTAAAATGTTAGGTTAGTTCTTGACTTTTATCTCTATCATGCATTTAAGTCCCTAAATTCAGACAACGTTAATAGAGAGTAACAGAATGTTAACATGTCACGTTAAGTAACACATGTCATTGATTACATGCCAAAAATAATGTCGTATGTGATATAGTATATGTTTTTATTTTATTTTAATTATTAAGATTATAACTCATCAAGCATTTTAGTCATTGATATTGTCACTAACTAGCATTTTTGTCCCTTAGATTGTCACTGATAAGTATTTTAGTCCTTAAGATTATAACTTGTTGCTTTCTGGGTTTGTTTTACTTTCATCTTCATATCTTTCCTTCACATCCTCTTTAGCTTCTTCTTGTGTGAATGTGATTACACACTCTTCTTCTTTGTAGTTTTCCTTTGTATATAGCATGCGTTCATACCAGTATTTGGGCTTCACTTGAACACAAAATCTTGAGTTGTAAGTGATGAAGTTGTTATTGATGTAAGGGTAATCTATTACATGGGTGTGGCTTGAAAATGATGCGTTGAATTTTGAACAGCAGCAGCTAGTTTTGATGATGCTGCAGTTTACAATGAGTTAGGACAACAATAAAGGTTTCAGCATTACTTTTCTATCATTTGGCGAATATAAGAACTCGAATCTCTCTTCCCTTTCCCTTCTTACAAAGCCATCAAACATCTTGCAAATGCAACTCCACATAAACCTTCTCTATCATCTCCTCCACCAGATCCTTTTTCAACAGAACCTCAATTACCCTTCTTTTCTTTCTCTCTCTTAGGGACTAAAATGGTTGTTGGTGACAATCTCAGGAACTAAAATACTTGTCAATTACAATCTCAGACTAAAATGCCTGTCAATGACAATCTTAGAGACTAAAATGTCCGACGGTTATAATTTAAAGACTAAAATAAAATAAAAATATATATATTATACCACATACGACATCGTTTTTGACAAGAAATTAATAACACGTGTTACTTAACGTGACACGGTAACGTCATTTTACCACATAAATAACAACATGTATCAATTAACGTGACATGTCAGTATTTTGTTATTGTCTATGGACAGCGTCTGGGTTTAGAAACTTAAATACACGACGGAGATGAAAATTAAGGATTAACGTAGCATTTTAAATTTTTTAGGGACTAAAGTGTAAAACTATAAACTCTTTCGAGGACCAAAATGACAGTTTAGTCTTATTTTTAAAGTTAGTTGTACATAGAAACAAGTAACTGGTGATTAAATAACAAAGTTCACTTGAGTTGAAAAAGAAAATTATGTATAACTTCACTGCAGCATCAACATGTTTTAAAGTTCAAATTGGCATTCATTTTCTCTGCTCTGCTCATTGTCCTTCCGCCGAAGCCACATTTCAAGTGATTTGTTGGTGGATTGTTTCATATTTCAATATAATTTCAGAACGCAAAATGAAATACATGCAAAAAATATATATCATGTTTTCACCGATATGCATAAAAAAATTGTGGAGACATACACAAGATACAAGCCAGCCACACTTATCACCATCCTCGTTTACTTATGCTTAAATACGTTACTTGCAAAAAAAAAGTTTGCAGCTTTTCTTAATTGCTTATTAAGACATGAAACACCTCTACAAACATCTAAATAAATCAGGGAAGGAACATTGTTTCTATTAGAATTTGAGTGAGTACCATCCAACATGCGAAAGAGAGTGACTTAAGTTTTTTTTTTTTTTTTTTTGTCAACAAGTAAACTTAAGTTTCAGAAATTTGTTTGTCTAAAATGTCTTATCAATTTGGACTCATGACCCTTTTTACGTTTGGCCTAGGTATAACATTCATTTAACCTTTTGGTTTGACTTGTAGTTTAAGTTTGCACATTTACCCCATATCTTGTTCTCTTTGTTTTTTATTACTTGAGCTTTTGCTTCTCTTTTTAGTATTTAAATGTCACAATTCTAATTTTTTTAGCTTTTTTTTTTTTTTTTTTCATTTGCCTTGATCCTTTTTATTTATTTTAGGTCTTTCAATTTTTTTGTACCAATATCTAATACCATATTACAATTTGAGTATGGATTGTAAAAGAAAGTGAGTATATATTTGAGTGATTCATTTATTTAAAAGATAGAGAATTAGTTTTTGCATCCATTTTTTTACATCTCTACTAATATTTCTTTTATAAATTATTATTCTAAAAATCTTTCATTATAATAAAAAAAATTCTTCCACAGCAATGCAATAGAAATATTTGCTTTTGATCATGTCCTAATAAACATTTATTGATTTTTTTCTCAATACCACTCAACAATTATCGCATTATATTAATTTTTTTAATCAAATTTCAATTAAAGTGTTTGCAAATATATTGATAAGTGGTAAAAATTTAAATATTTGTTTAAATTTTTTTGAAAATTTAATTCTAAAAAATATCTCTAAAAACAATGATTTTTAGAAGTCATTTTTACAATACGTGATTAGGTAACATTGATTATGTCTTGTTTCTATTTCTCTTTTAAATGTTAAAGACAATGTTCTTGGCCTTATTAAGACTTAGGCTTAGGTTGGTAAAACAAACTGAAAAGTACAAGCTTGTAACTTTTAGTCATAAATCTAATTAAAATTTTTAGACTTATAACTAAATAAGTAGTTAGTTAAATTGAAGTTATTTGACAAACTATGTATGTAACTAGTTGATTTCTATTAAGTACTTAAAATTATATATAATATTATATTAATCATGAAGGATAAGTTACCTCAAAAAAAAAAAAATGAAGTTACATAACATAGCATAAACCTTGCTCAAAAACTTGAAATAGGACTTAATGAAGTGAAGGTACGCAAAATTACAACATTTAAGTTCGGATAGTTTAGATTCCTTCAACAATGTGTAGGGAGTACAATATTTGTAAATAAGTTTTAGAAACAAATTTCCATAAAATAACAAAGAGGTTAAAATTTAAAAATTTTGTTTAAATATGTAAAGGGTATTTTAGAAAAAATTAAAAATTGAATGAATAGTGTCTTAAGTAAAAAATATGGTCCAAAAGGCAACCTTCTTTATCTTAAAAATGATACTTTCTTACTTATATGCCATTTAACTTTATAATAGTCTACCAAGACATAATTTGTTGTTCAAGAGTCTCACCATCACAATGTTTAGATTCATGTTTCTAACGTAACTCTGAATAGAACAATAATCAATCTAAGATAGCAACACAAAATGATTAACCTCAAAAATGTTATAGTGTAACAGCGGGATAATCATTGTTTTAAAGTTTTAAATATAGTTAATATAAATTAAGCTATACATATGTCAAATGATAATTAATGATAAAAAGTAAAAGTTTGAAAATATAACATATGTCAAATGTCAATAACAATAAAATAAAGAAATCAAACAAAATCGTCTTAAATGCTTATAAATTTAAAATCACTAAATATTCAAATATAGATATTTTCATAGTTATCATCATCTTTAAGATTTATTATATCTTCTTAATTTTTTTTTTCATCACTACTTTTGTAGAGGTTTTCCTCTGTCTGCTCTTATTCAGGGTCTTCGTTATCACATTCTTCTTCTTGTTATACAATTTTCTTCCCTTTTTCCTTAGATGTAGAGGAAGAAGCAATTATAGTTATGTTATTTGTTGATCTAACATGTCTTTTAGTGTAGGTTATACGTTCATTAGCTCCAATTACATTGACAATGTTTCGTAAATGTGTCTTACATATTCTATAGTTCTTCCACCATTCAACCACTCATCAAAATTGAACATTTTTTTAAGGTTATTGTTTTTATTATGCAACATTTGTAATGTGAAGAATGTTATGACAAATCTTGCCTCTCCATATCTAACCAATTCAAATTTATTTGTTAATCTCTTCATGATGTTCAAAATCAATAAAATTATAAATAAAACTTATAAGACTAACTCCTCTTTCTATTATTTTCAGACTCTAGCTATTTTTTCAATGTCTTTCAACATTAAATGAATAGTGTGTAATGCATGGAGTCCAAAGCAAATGTTGTCTTTTAGCTTGCAACAACTTATCTAATATTAAATTGCATTGTCTAAAATTAGAAATTAATAAAATAAGAATACAAATTGTTACGATGAAATTACTTGAAAGTTAAGAATAATTCTAATAACTAATATATAATTTCATTGTTAGTAACTATTTTGCACAATATTTTTCACTCCAATCTCCTTAACAAAACTATTTAAGAGCTCAAATAATTTTTTTTTGGTATTCATGAAAGTAGATGTATCAATAGTCTTCATAGAACTAGTTGAACAATTAACTAAGAAATTGATCGATATTCTATTTTTTTTCATTTATTTACGCTTCTAACATAATTGAACATACA